CCCTGCGTGTGGGCATCCCTGATCGCCACGGTCTGTAACGACAGGCTTTTCCTCCCGCAAAGGTCGTGGGAGATCAGCGAGGGAAAGGCCCCATCCAGCAGCCGAGGAGTTCCCCAGTAACACTAGATGGTACCAGAGCTCCACACAGGCTCAGGCAGCACCCGGCCAGAAAGTACCTCAAAAAATGGAAATTCTGAAGCATGGAAAGCTGAAGATGTAAAGCTGCAATACATGAATATGCTGTTGGCAAAGTAATCGCTTTTTCTATGGGGAAAAGTGGACAGGGGAGTTGTGAATAAAATAAGGACGTTTTCCTGGTGTTCAGGGCAACTAGTGTAATGTAGTATCTGTGGTTAAAAATTACCAGCAAAGAGACAGCGTCACAGCGCCTGGTAGGGAGGCATTTGAAGACAAATTCTCAGGGAGTTCTTCATTACTAGTAATCAATTAAGGAAGATCTAGGAAGTGTTTTAACTTTAGCAGAAACTGCCCTTCAATCATAAAAATGAGGTACGTTCCTGGTGTTGTCAATATCAGGAACCACAGAAACAGCTCTCAGAATATGATTGCCTCTTTCTGTAAGCAGCTGCGCACATCGCAACGCGCTGCGTGAAATATTTATACGTTAAAAAAAAAAAAAAGTCTTCCTGCAAATGAATATTTATTCCATGAATAATCCTTACTGTCTTCGTAGCTTTCAACACATTTGGGCAAAACGTTTCGAGTTTCTGTGCTTACAATGAAAAAATCTAAACCCGACACCTAAATAGGTGGCCTCATTTCAGCTGTGTGGAGCGCTTGCAGTAGAGCCATCGTGTCCTTCACATGGCTGCCCCTGCAGCATGACAGCGCTTTAGCAGCCTCGAGTAACTCAACGCAGCAATCTAGGTGATGAAATGAAGTCTTGAGATAGCAGGGCGAAATAATAAAGGCAGAACTGGCACTTGGCCAGAATCATTTTTCTAAAGCTCCACGCTCGTGTAGAAGTCCGACGCGATGATCTTATGGCTAAATATGGTCAGGACTTCAGCGCTGCGCCTCGTCCAAAACCCAGCAACGCTGGTGTTTCCTCTCTTTCCAGATGAAGGGTTGGCGTCGGCGTCCTAT